CTCTATGTACTCATACTCTACTCGATGGTTGATGTCATACGAAGACAAGTACATGCGCGCATTGTGAGCGGTCTCATGCATTACATGCACACGGGGATAAACTCTGAGCGACGTTTTCAGTTTTTCGACTGCATGACATTTTATTAGGTAGGGATAGGAACACGTCCATCAACGCTTTGTCAACTCGATTATTCCGGGATATCTGGCTTAACATTCACCATTATCCATTATGTTAAGAGAGTGCTTCAAAATATACCACTTTTCAATTTACAGTTTGTATTTATAAAAACTAAATCCTCATACTTTCGTTAGACTGATTGAAAGATTTGTCTGTGAGAAGTAAATTTATTTAAACTATTTTGAGAAAATTTTTTTTTAAGACAAAAAAAGCTATTTGTTACTTGTCAGGTTAAGTCTTGAAATTACAGTTCTTTGAAATTTGAAAATCATTTAAAAATCTTTGAATTTGCATTACTAGAAGAATTTGTTAATATTTAATAAGCTTTTTTTTTTTTTCTTAATTTGTTTAAAGTCGCATAAACTACTATGGTCATGAGCGACTACGGTAGGGGGTAAACTTTTGAGATTGGAACTCGTTTGTATTTCTTGGGCTGAGCAGAATAATACACTTAAATATTGAAAATATTAATTGGTGTACGCCGGACTCGAACCGGGTCCAATGCTTTGGTAAGCAAGGTTGAGCTATCCGTGACAGTGTCACGGATAGCTCAATCAACTGGTAGAGCCTTTGGGGGCCATTCATTAATTACGTAAGGATATTGAGGGGGGGGGGGTAAAATTCATTCTTACGTAATATTTTGTGAATCAAAATTCAAGATTAAAAATCTTTCCATTTCGGATTCCAAATTGTTTTCTTAATTTTAAAGTGTACAGTCGAATTTTTATTTTATTTAAATAATTTTTGTTGCTTATTGAAAAAAATAAAAAATAACTTATTAAAATTTTATATGTTTTTATTGTTATCCATGTTTGGTTCTACAGAAAAAATTATAGTACATTTTTCCGTGTATTATCATATTTTTATTATTTAAAAAATAAAAAAACATTTCCATCTACCGTTACATCTGATGAGCTACCAATTGTCTCTGATTGGATGACATGGATTAAAAGTCCGTTTAGTCTGGATGAAAATTAATATTTTTAATTGATCTAGCTTTAACTATTTAATTTATGTTTTTAAGACTAATTTAAAACTAGTCAAATATTATTTTATGAACAATATTATGAGTTTGTAGTTTTAATGATTTATGTTTGCTAGTATTATTTAAATTATTCCTTGTTAAAAAATAAAAATTATGGATCCGCGTTGAACTGTAAGTTTTAGTGAAACTGATCCTTTTCTAACATAAAAGTTTATTATTTAGAAGATCAAGATAGAATCTTACGTAACAAAAGGGAAAAGGGGGGGGGATTCGAGAAATCTTACGTATACTTACATGGGGGTAGGGAGGGTCAAAATTGACCAAAATTGTCCTTATGTAATTAATGAATGGCCCCTTGGCGCGTAACTTTATTAATAATCAACAATAATTTTATTGTTATTGGTAATAACTTTATTAAAAATTAACTGTTAATAAATGATTTTTTAATATTAGGTAATTAAATGAATATTTATTAATAATTAAAAAATATTGAATTATATTTTATAAATGAAAAAGTTGTTTCCAAATAAATTTATTTATTAACAGTTAAGAAATTTTATCAATGGGTAATTTGATATATATCTTTTGATAGTTTTTTTTTTCAAAATGTTATAATAGTTTAGATTAAAACTCAAATTTTTAGACAAAACCAGGCCTTGATGATATAATTGTTACAATATTTTTGAATACTGTTTTATTGACTTAATTTTTGAAAAATTTTTTTGTTTTGAATTAACTAAGAATTTATCAGTGTAAGTACTTACAGAAGAAATATGAGCTTCTGTGACAATCAATACTTTAACACTTTAAAAACATATTCAATAAAATTTAACCAAATTTGATTAATATTTGTTTTCATAAATTGTTAAAAAAATTAACTTGATTTAAGAAAAAGAATCTTAAGCTGAAAAAATTATTTTGAAGAATTTTTTTGTTTTAAATCAAGCAGGGAAATTTTTAAAATAAAAATTTTTTTTTCCACTTTAAGTAACTTTTAATTAGTTGATTCTAGACAAAAAAATTCTTCAAAATGAAAAATGAATAAAAAAAATATGTAAAAATATCATGACAATTAAATTAAGTTATGATTTTGTCTAATAATTGAAGTTATAATTTAAACCATCATTAAATTTTGAAGAAAAGTTATCAAAAGATACAAATAAAATCACTCACAGATAGAAAAATTTCTCAACTGCTAATAAATTCATTAATTTAAAAACAACACAAGCGACGTACCCGAGTCGAAAAATTTAAACTGATTTTAAGCTAAATGATCTGCATTTGAATTTATTGATCTGTATTTGAACTTTAAAAAACATTTTTATCGGTATTTCATCTACTATTAAAATTATTTTTGACATTTTCATCTGTATTTGATCTACTATTCATATTATTTTTGATCTGTTTTAAGTCTAAATAACTTTTTAGTAAAGTAATTGAGCAGCTATGAATATTTTATACTGTTTCTAATCTAATGAGACTAAAAAGTTTTAAGAGTTTGATCGGTTTTTAGTCTAGTTAATTTGTACATGGACTTTATGTTATTGTTTTCAAATTCAATATGAAATTTGTTAGTTAATTCATTCTAAATTAAAATTTTTTATACTTATATAGTATTATATGTCACTATCATTTATCTAAAAATATTATTTTATAAAACATTCTAAATATTTATAAGTTAAACTGCACAATAATGTAAAAACTGTATGTATATGTACTCTTTGCCATTTGGCAATTGCCTTGGCATAATTTTTAAATAAACTAAACTAAACTAAACTAAACTAAATTTTATACTGTTTTTGATCTACAATTTTCATTCTAAATGTTCGAAGGCCAAAAGTCGACTAAGATGGTGACTTATAATTTTTTTGGACTTAAAAGTATCTCATTATAAATTATAAGTCGCATTTATTTAAAAAAATGAATTAATTTATAATATATTCATGCGCTCTCTTGTTTTATGAACTGAGCGTCGATTATAACCTTACATCTGTCGTATTTATTTGTCATAGCTCAACATTTCGTGGATTATGAAAGTTTTGTAACTGCAAATATTAGTTGCAGTGATATCTAATAAATTTGTATTAATATACGTTTATAAAATAGTTCTCATCGTTTAATTATGGATCTAAATCCATAGTTTTCTAATTATCGTTATTAAACACAATGTGAATACATCGAGATAAGATTAAAATGTTGACAAGATTAATGTTAAATTTTATATTTTCACGCATCATTCAATGAGCGGTATCCACTATTTGGTAGTGCGAAGAGTACCGTTTGGTATACATTGCACTACGAAATAGTGAATGGTCACTATTTCAGTTTCAGAGAATGAAAAGCCGTGCCCTGTAGAGGATCTTCGAGAACATGAATAAAATAATAATAAATAAATATAGTATTATTATCAAATTCGTAAAAGGTCGGTTTTTGATTTACAGGCGATGAAACACCGACTAAAAATTATAGAACGTTTTGGTCTGTTTTTGACCTTGATGCGATCAAAACCAGCTAAATGATTGTGACGAAAAAAGTCTGATTTTGGTCTTGAAACAATAGAAAACAATTTTATTATAACATTAAAAATGATCTGAAATTGGTCTGAATTGTGAATAATACGGGCAAAAACAGATTAAATTCTCATATAAAATAGATACACATAATAAAATTAAATTGAATGAAAAATATTAAAAAATTTTATTAATCATAAAACAGACTAAATTTTTTGACCCGGGATATTTTCGGGCATAACTTGTTGCAAATTACATTTAATTGCATAAAAATCGACCACACTCAAGTTCCAAAAGTAATTTTTTGTAAAACTACCCCTCTCCTCCCCAGTACAGATTAAAATAACAAAAAACGAGAAGTTCTCATTGAAGTTGTCGATAAAAAAAGAACGTGGATGTGAAACGCGTATTAAGTGAAAAAATTCTTGATAATCACGTTCTTTTTGCATTCCTGGTCGGTCCCTCAGATCCACAAAATCCAATCCGGGACGATTCACAGGACGGCTCGATGATGGGAGCACAATGAGAAGTTGGAGACGAGAGAAGAAATACTGTACTGGGGAGGCGCCCCTTCATACATACAAGTTCATGTCATAATGCTCGAGGATTCAACTCACACATGTTTTGTATATTATTATTTTATTTTTATTATATTTTTCGCTGGCGGTTGTCGGTTGTGTGGGTAAATGTAGGTACAGATATGTATACTGAAATATAGACTCCTATCCACTGCTATATAATAATATAATAATAAATATATATGATATATAAATACGCATAGTTGAGAGTTGATGGGTGACTGAGTTGAGAGAAAAGAAGAGAAGAGTAGACCCTCACCTGGCACTTGACAGTCCCGAGCAGAGTGGAGGTTTCACTCGTATATCAACGTGATACTACACCACCACTAGACTCAACTTCCAATGAAATTCAGATGTTAGCAAGTAAACTTGAGGAATACTTACAACTTAAAAAGAAAAAAAAAAAAAAAGGGTTCGGTTCTGTATTGAGCGAACGAATATTATATTCTGATATTATATTATTGTTGTTAATTTGTAAAGGGATCCTAACGGTTTTAAAATATGACAGCGAAATTTGAGGTACCACACCCACCATACTTAAGTTGAAATTAATCCATCCTAATTTCCTCTCTGGTTTATATTAATAAAACTACCTTTATGCTATTCGATTTGATTATGAGCAATGAGCAATCAGGGATTAACTTGAATGAGAATATTAGATTTTACCATTTAATTTACCGAAATTTGTTCAAGCTGTTATGAAATTGAGAAGGGAAATTTATCTAATAAATTGATTAACTTATTTTACAGCGAGTTGTTGCGGAGTCGGGGTTGAAGACGCGAATCCCCAGGAACCAGTTAGCCCTGGAGCGGTCGGAGTTGCTGGAGGTGTTTCCGTGATTCCTGAACGGCCTCCGCTAGAGCTCGATAAATTACCGCCTTATCACGACGTCACGCCAACTCCAGGTAAATATTTATTCTTTAATAAATAATAATAATTTTTATATTTATAAAAATTTTATAGTTAATATTTTTTAATACAAAGAGAGAAAAAATTTTTTTGAAAAAATGGACATTTTTGTGACAAGAAATTAATTTGTTGAAAATATTCAATAATTTCATTTCTTAGCTAGGGTAAATGCACCAATTATTGACCGATTAAGGTTTTCTTTTTTTGTACTAAGTTATAAAAAATCTATTAACTTACTAAAACAATTTGTAATGGATTTTATTAAAGTTAAATACTTAATTAATAATAATTAATAACTATCTATAATAAAAATTAACAAAATTATATTAATTTTGTTATTTGAATCTTGAAATACTAAAATCA